AAATTAGTTAATAATTGAATTTAATATTTATTAATATCAGTAATAATAAATTTTTATTAACATTTTATGTATAATTAATATTTATTTTTAATTAACAGTAAAATAACAAATTAATCACAGTTATAATTATAAAAGTGACAATAAGCTAGCTTATATCTATCCAAACATGTACCCAACAAATAAGGTAACGTATTTTTTCCAAACAATTGCTTAAACTGATTTAGTTAATGTTTGCTTGAGTGTTTCTACTTAACTGTTCATGGTATGATTATTAGCAACATACCTTTTGAGATTGTTTGCAGGCTTCTATCATATATAAACAAACACCTTGCGATGTCCAGTTTATATTTATCCATTATTTCACCAAGAAGACATGCCACAAGCTTTAACATTGGGTTGAGTTGTTCAAATGTCTTCAACCTAACCCATATGGTACCCTAGTATATCCCATCTGAAGATACAATATGAAGCTGAAATATATACAGATATGACATCTATCCCAAATAGTTTTGGTGAATGAATTAAATAGGTACAACTAAAAGCAAAGTAAAGTACAAGGGCACTTTAATGGAGTCCAAAAGGACCATGCTACATTCAGGCTCAAGTTAGGGGATAGTTTGAATCATGTGGGTGATTCAAACCCACATGACTTCAAAAACATTTGCTACATTTTAAAGCTAGAAAATATTTGGGTGATTGACTCCTAGACCCCATCAAAAAAAACTGACCCAAAAAATTTCACTCGAGAGCCGATCGTCACCGAGTTGTCTTTACAAGCATTCGTTCGTATGACATCTAGCGGGACCATTTACGTTTTACGGGATTTACATCTACTGAACTACCAATAAGAGTACTAGAAACTAGCGGGTATTTTTGTTATAGTAATCGAATAATAGTTCACACCTTTCAACAAAAGAACATGGAGCCCTGGACATCTTCGTGCAACTTTGGCAGCTCGGGAACAGGTACAGGTCCTACGGAAGTCAGGCTGTCCTTTCCGTATGTGTTTTCGGGTAAATCTTCGAACTTCAAAAACTGGCCCATTTGTTGGGCTGCGAGATGGGCGTAAGAAATCGGCGCCACTGCAAAATTGACTTAAAATAATGAGATAGAACCACAAGATTGGATGGAAGATTTGTGTTGAAAGATAAAGATGGTACCGATTGAAGTTGCAGCGCTACTTCTTTGATACCTGTGACGACATTCGCGCAAGGTCAAAACAAGAAATAATTAATGATTGTTGTTATAGTTTGAAGGAGTTACGCGATTTCATGACACGATCAATTGACATGACAACTTTTTTTTGCTTCCAACGGTCTATAGGATCTGTTTATAAGTGAAAATTACACCATTTCGACCAAAAATTCATTTTCAGGCCAAAGTAGTTACTGAATCGACAAAAATGCTTCAAAGTGGTCAATATAACTTGACAAAAATACCTAATCAACATCTTCATGATGAAGAACAAAAGAAAAACATCGAAATTAAAAACTAACAATAGTAAAACAAAAGGAATCTCTTTAAGATGGAAAATTTCTATAAGGGGGTTTGAACATTTGAAAGATTACGCATGAGAATGAACACCTATTTTGATCGTGTTCATCTCCTCAACTTCGAGAATGAAACAAGTATTATCAAGATTGAATACTCACACGTATGATAGCGTAAGGATCAGATTCTGCAGGTTATCGGGAGAGAAACCGATCTCATCAAGCAAGACATGGTAGTGGGCAGGACGAGAAGTTCCCTGCAAATACATTTAATAATTAGGTGAATGAAAAAGACCTACATACATTCTAACCATTTCTGATTATTAGTACATTTTTGGTCAAAATGAATTAAAACATGACAAGGTTTGGACCAGTTCCTATCAGGTATGACAAAGATTCTTTTTTCCAATCGATGTAACAAAGTTCTAAAATTTCTATTTGTAGCCATTTTGACCGGCAACTTGATGATCTTATAGCATTTTGATGAATTAGATACCCGTTTACGAAATGGTTATGCCAAAGTGAACAGTAGACTTGACATCCACGTCATCAAATGTTACAAGATCAACATGTTACTGGTCAAAATGGGTAAAATTATGAAAATTTGTTACATAAAGGGAAAAAAATTGTTACACTAAATAGCAACTAAGGCAAACTTCATTACATTATAATGTATTTTGAAGAAAAATGCTTTAACAGATCTGACACTTAAAAATAAGACCCTTTGTTCCAAGTTTTAACATATTGGAGTCCCGTTGATTCTACCTATTAATCAAACATTCTTGACAAGTATTGCTCAAATTTAATGGCTGAAACACAACAAATCTTTTCCTTTACTAAAGGGTTGTTTGGTTGGTTTCCATTAAGTCTTGTATGGATAAAGTTCTCTGTGTATTAATTTGTCTCTATAGATTCAGAAGGTTTTGTTTGGGAGGGTAGATGAAAGGAGCTTGTTTTTTAATTGAAAGGGGCAGGTTTGGAAAAAACTTAGCTTTCTGCATAAAGCTCCGCCTAAAAGCTCACTGACTACGCCACTTTCTATATCATTAAGCCACTACCAAACGGTTACTTATAGCTGACCTAATAAGTTGTGAGTCCCATTAAGCTCATTAAGCTGCTAACAAATGGACCCTAAACATGCTGATTTTCTTCTAATCTGTTTCTCTTTACTTGGACACCTGGGCCGCCATTAAGCAGAGTAAGAAAGCGAATAGATCTAGATTGATTAATTACATCTTATAAATAATATAAGCAAGAAAAGGCTTTAGGAACTTACAATCATTCCTGATTGGGCACACATGTAGAAGTCATAGTTTCTTGGGTGCACCACATTACTGTCTACTACGGTACCTAAAGATGCATATCCACAAAAAGAGAACAGACTACTTATGGTGGGTTCTTTTGTCGTTTAAATAGAACTAAATGATTAAAGAACGTGGTGAAAAAAGCAGACCGGCAGGGACATTTTCAGGGCCTGATGCTTGGAAGAGCTTTGTGTGGTGATTCTTTTGAGCCACAATCACTGTGAACTTTGGAACGTCAACCTCACCAAGATGCTGGTAAGCCTGTATCAACCAAGGACTCAAATATATCAAATTATAAAAGCAAGATATACAATAGGCAATTCTATCTTCTCGTCCAATGTGAGTGCCTTAGTTATAGAACTATGCTCAATGGAACTCATTGTCTTGAAAAGTTTTCATTTACAGAATCAAGTTAGATCTTCTGGGATCGTAGGTTAGACTGGGGGGGGGGGGGTAATTTTTCCTACCTTTATGTTTTCTTGTACCTTCTTTTGCCTGTACGTTTTCTTTGTTGTTTCTAACTCTTTTCCAATTTTTAGCACTGCCTTCGTATTTTCAAGTTCTCTTTATGTTCTTTCTCCGCAATTTTTTTTGAGCAAGTTTTACCCTTTCTTTTCACACACTTTGCACAAGCCGAAGGCCTTCACGGGAACAATCGCTCTACTCCTCAAGGTAGAGGTCAGGCCAATGTACATCACATCCCCCCCCCCAAGAGACCCGGGTGGGACTTACTGGGTTGGGTTGGGTTGGTTTTAGAATCAAGTTGCATAAGGAAATCCTATGACCCATGAAACAACCTTGTTGCAAAATACAAGGGGAAGGCTGCTTGCAAATATTTCCCTATCTAATCGTCATGAAGCCAAGAAAAACTGGTACGTAGGTCTTCCTTCTTTTAAAATCAATTATAAACTACTGAAGGTATTTTTGGTGCTTACAGTGCCTCTAGAAAGATGATAACTTGTCACACCATTGCCAGACCATTTCAGGCAGTGATCGCAGAGTGATTGCAATACATGTTGAAAAAAAACATAAGAAACATACCTTGATCATCTGATCCAACTCAATGTTCAGCACCTGATTGAACTGGGATTCGCTCACTCCATCTCTGAGAAAAAACTAAGACATTCCATAGAGGTATCTGACAATGGTAAAGCTAAAGAGGAAACATAAAGAAAGAATGAAGAGACAAGTGCTTGTTTCGTAAGCCTTTTCTCTTTGATTTGGGGGAGGTTCAGAAGCCTACTCTACAGAGCTTTTTCAATAACTATTCCCACAGCCAACACATTCATTTTCAGTTACACATACATGAAAAGATGGTATGATTTTTCATCCAAAATACTAATACCTGAATACTATAATTTGAGTTGGTTTGCGGTGATTGCTTGTTTGATAAAATTCCACAAGTAGTTCACTGTTCAAAACAACACTAGGTCAATAACAAAACATGAAGTTGGAATAAACATGTTAACAAATGATTTAATCAAACTTATTACTACCTTGTAAAAGAATCCAAATTACTTCTCAACTTCAAAATAGAGAACTGTTTTGGTTCTTGAGAAAAAAATGGGTAGATTACAATAAATATAAAGAATATCCACAACAGAAAACATTGGTGGATCTAGAAAAATAGACCATCTAGATGAATCTGAATTTGAGAAAATCCATTTGTTTTTTGAAATCGAAAGTGAACTCTAGTGGTAGGACAGAGGGAGTATATAGAGAACAAAGCATTCCATACTAGAACTACCTCATTATGCCATCATCTGTCCCATCTGCTTGTGGTTTGAACAAACCTTCAATCATTTCCACCTTTGATGATTGAGTCCTAACAGACGCTTTATATCTTGATATCAATGGCCATGAGTGGGATCCAACAACCTACAACAAATGTGAACATTCACAGATGGGAAGAATAATAAATATTCACCCAGTAAGGAAATAAAATAGACTGAAGATATATAATTATAACGATACTACCGCAGCAATTGAGGGGATATCCGACCGACCAGGTGACCCATGAGAAACATCCATTCCAATTATCATTGTTGGAGTATCATGTATGAGGGGTATGCGAGATGGCTGCTCTAATGCTAACAGAGAATTGATCCCACCAAGCTTAAGATGAAAAACAAACAGCAGCAGTTGCTTTAAGTTTTAAGATATGCAAAAGAGGTCAAATTTATAACTCTAGAGCTTTATTCAATACCTTTGAATTAATTTTCAAAAGCACATTTGTGAGATATTGGTCAGTGATCTTAACAGGACACATGCATTGTGTGGGAACTCCATAGTCGCTTAAACATTTTTTCTTCCAAGGACCTTCACACATTAAAAAGCATGCTACGTGAGGTGTGGCAGTGTTTAGATCCCGCCTTTTATATACACTAAATATACTCGGTACCATATATGTCAGAATTTTTCCTCTCTGGCAATATGCAAAGGAGAAACTCAGGAGCACCCGGGAGCTTTGCTAAAATATGGTCAAACATCTTTTCTACACGTACTACAGGGCCACATCTTCGATTATGTTGGTCTTCCTCCATTAGTGAAAATGGGCGATCAATAAGCTGAGAATCCCAAAATCAAACCATCAAGTCGAAACTCTTGCAACAAATGCAGAGAAAAATTAACATATGCTTTGACTTACAATTCCTTTATTCCTTCCACAATTTATCAGCTCGCGTGAAAGATGACTTGCATCACACCTGGCAGAAAAGTTGACAACTGCCCATTTTTCTATTTTGGTGGGAGTAAAAACCTTCTGCAAGGAAAAATGATTTGAAAAAAGGAGACAGGAATCTCCATCAGTTGTGATTCTTTGTGATTGCTCAATAGGAACACATAATATCATGAGCTTGTCAACTTCTCCATCATTCTTCTAGGACTCAAATGGCTGATTTCACAGAATCACAAACCTACAAGAATACCTTGTTATTGAAGTTCCATCGCCCATTACGAGGGAAAAACTCTTCTCCATTACCAACCTTCAACTACAGTTGCAAGAAAAGTAAATGTGAAGGGCAGCATGATTATATTTCTAGCTAAATAAAGACATCATATTACACAAAAATGGACAACCTTTGGTGCCTCGAGGACACGACCATCAACTTGAGCAAATTGTTTCTCGATACAAATTCCACATGAAGCTAGTAGAGGGTCATCATCATAATGATAATTTTTCATAGCCTGCTAGGTTAAATAAGTACTCAATTTACAGTAGTGGAGACTGAGATGTGTTGGATCAAGAGGGTAAGATTGCTTTACATCATTTATAACTCGCATTTTCTCTTGAGGCTTTTGTCTTGATTTTTCAACTAATGATGCTCTCTGCAGTGTAGATAATGCCTTTGTATACCGTTGAAGTGAAACAAGAGAACAGAGCTAGGAGCCATGGGAAAATGATAACATTGTTAGAAGGTTCTGCCACAAAATGGATAGAGGGTGGAAATGTAAAGACACGAGATAAAGATACAACCTCCACAGGCAAATAGCTTGGCTTCTTTGGTTTACCAACATCAATGCACGGTATGTACGCAGAGTAAGTAAGTTCAATGTTACGGTGTTTGGTAAAATAATCAAGCACTGTAATGTTTATTGTCTGGTCTTCATATGTACCATCGTCTTTTTTCACTCTCAAAGAAAACCTTAAGAATAAGCAAGACATGTCAACCCTCATACAAGGGGGGGGGGGGGGGGTGAGAAGTAGAGGGAGGGGTACCCTGCACTCAAAAAATAATAACTTACAGTTGTTGATTACAAGGCTTTTCGCTCATCCCGGTGATCTTGAATTCCCTGTTGCTGTGCCTTGTTTTTATTCTCATGTTTTTAAGCATTTTCTTCGCCTGTCAAGTTGCCAGAAACCTAACAGATAACTAAATTGATGGAGAGGAATGTTGTGTATAGCCTTTTATTACCTTTACCCAGTCAATAGACCGAGCATCACGTGCATTTTGATTGGACTTCAGAAAATCAATCACCGGTCCAGGAGTAAGAATCATTGTAGTTGAAACATCTGAAAAGGCGAACACAAGTACAATTAAAATAGCAACTGAGTGACACCTAATAGGAGTAAACTGAATGCAACAATACCCATATTCAGTGACAAGCCGCCATGTGTTGGACGAAAACTAGAATGAAATCCACGGCATCCAGTGACACCCCCTCCAACATCAGTGAAGTTCCTTGAGTCATCAAGAAAGAAAGATTGTCTGACCAGAAGGCATCCCCTGCATCCAACACAGACTTCTAATAAGCTAGAAGAGATTAAAAAAACGAAAAGCATCCAAGGAGAGGGAAACTAGAAGTGCCTTTGAGCTGCTTGTTGTCTCAAGATGATGTCAAGAACCCTTAGAGCATCTTGGAGTTTTTCTGTCTCTGATCCTTGAAGAGCAAGACAAACCGATTTTAATGGTATTTTAGCAGCATAGCTGATTTCTACTTTGTAAGTTTTCTCCTGGAAAGAGCGTCTTGACCTTTTACCAGATTCACTGAGAATCCCATCATGAGAAGGGCTTCCACTACAATAAGAATAACTTTAGCTAAGATCTCCAAGAACATACAAAGAATTATAATTCAATTACAAGACTAACAAGTATGAAAAGATTGACACACCTTTTTCCAAATGAATATTCTAATACAACCATGAACTCATACTTGTTTCGTGGGAGAGGCCCAACAGTATACAGGCTCTTTTCTCCATCATATGCAAATCTCTTACCAGAAAGTTCAGATGAGTATGTTTGGTAAAGTTTATCAAGAATTTTTCTCCCTAAACCTTTGCTCTCAATTGCTCTGTTATCTTCAGAACTGATGGATACCTGCACCGATATGACATTATAGAAGCTACCTGCTCAACTATAAAACCTACATAAAAATGATTAAAAATTTAATACCATACACTGTACTGGTAGAATATCTCTTCTGGATTCTTGACAGAAACTTTGAAGTGATTAGCAAGCAGTGAAATGTGTTTTCCAGAACTTCCAAATCCAGTCCTACTGATCATACAACGCTTAGGATGGTCTGCTTGCTCTATCTTCACATCGGGTTGTATAACCTCTGGCTGCGGTGGTGGCAGTGGTATGGGTGGGGAACCATTAGCACCTTCACCATTTACTATCTCCATCTTTATACATCAACCGGAACCCTTAAAAATTTGAACGAAGTATAATTAGAGAATCAATAGAACCAACAACTAATAAGATGGAATATTCAGATTAAGGAAAAACATGAAGCTTCCTGAAATTTAGACAGGAGGAAAATTATATGTAATCTTTCAATTCTGGTATTAGAATGATAAATGTCCATCAGAATGTTTTTGAATAACTTCCAGATTTCACAATCAACCAAATGATTAGATGTCATTGTCTGCATAAATTAACATGCCTTGTTGAAATTGGGTGCATAGTTGTCTAACATATATCTTAGCCACTAATATGGTACCTATACCTATTGCCATTTTCAATTCAAGCTCAGCTAGCGTCAATGCAAAAATATCACCTAACAAACAAACGACGTCTTAGTAAAAATATTGTCGTTGTTGACATCTTTCTGTAGAAGCAAAATAAATAGCCCTCATCATAATCAAATAAATATCTAAATACATCTGATTTATGATTTCCAAGATTCAGTTTTTCGATGTAACGCCTCATAACCCAAGGCAGTAGGTTGGCCCAATAACCTACAAATCAACTTAAAACCATGGTAGAACTTATTAGAAGCCCATATCTTTGAGCTTATAAGAAGCTCAGAAGTCAGAATTCTAACTTTCTATCCATGTGGATATGGACGAGTTGTTACAAACTCTCCTACTTAAATTCCTGAAGTCCACCTCCCCGACATCCTCCTTGTTCATCGGCAATGTGGGATTCACCTAAGATGTTACAAACACCCCTTCAAAGACTAATCATGCTTTGCCCCACCATCCCAGTGGTAAAAGGATCGGCTCTCATACCATTTGTAACGCCCAATAGAGCAAATCAGCAGGAAATTAAGTCGATTTACAGGTTATTGGGAGAGCCTACTTCTTTGGGCTATGGGGCATTACATTCGAACTCAACAGTCTTCTAAGGTAATTCATAAATACTTTTTTATGGTCCAATGTCTGCATTTAAAAATTCTCTATAATCAAAATAAATTTAATCAAACTCCTTTCCTTTTCTTCTTGAGTATGTGGTATCGACATCTGTGGTCATACAAACCCACAAGGTTCATGCAAGGCACTCCTCCACATAACTGGGGAAACTTCCTCCCTCCAGAAAGCCAGGTGTTGTCTATTCACAAGGGAGTATCCCTCCATGGGTTCAAATGTGGTTCTCCTTACAACTTGAGTGTCATGCACCAAGGCGAATGCCATTTTAGCCCCCTTGGCGAATTAAATGTTAACTTATAACACCAAAGTCAAAATACTAACTTCAAACAATCATAAAGTTAAAAGTAACACGTCATGACAGTAGAATTGAAATCAAAATATATAGGCCAGAAGAAGCATAACCTAGTAAAGGAATCAAAAGCTTGAACAATCAAAATTTAGTCTCTATAATACAATGCAACTTAGTAAACAAGTACATTAGAATAATAAAAACTCAAAACACCCAAAAATTTCAAGAATTATACAATGCAGCCACTGAAAAAATAAATTAGAGACCTAAATCAGATCATAAACACCCAAAAACACATATGGAGGTAATCAACATACGTTTTACGATCAAAATACAGTAATACATCTTCAAAACACACGACAACATCAAGAAGAATTCCGGAAATTATCAAGCATTTAGATGGGTTGGAATTTAGAAGTATAAAAGTACATTGAGATTGATGGTGAGAGTTGAAGATCAAGTGAGGATCGTTCTAAGCAAAGAAAATAGCGAAATTGAAAATGAACATTGTGAAATTACCTTTGACTGTGAGGAAATTTAGGGTTTATGAAGAATGAAGAACAGAGAGTGGGTTTTTGATTCTCTCCCGCTTCGTTCGCCCCGGCGGTAGTGATTAGCGAGAGTCAAACCAGTCGTACCGCAGCTAATGTGGCTGCGATGTACCAAAATAGTGTGTAATACTTTGTATACGTTAATACTTGGTTTACATAAAACCTCATCAACACATGTGAAAATCGATTTTAAAATAATTTTTTATATATTTTCATTAAATTGTATATTTTAAAATATTATTTATATATATATACTAGTTGTGTACCCGCGCAATGCGGCGGGAACCATGAATTTTAACGATTTTGAAGTTCCACTGGTTTTATAAGATAAGATTTAACGATGATATAGGTTACATTTGGTCTTTACATATTAATACAATTTGAATAAATAAGAGTTATGGTTCCAATTACAGACTATCGATGAAAAAAAATGTATGACAATTTAAAATCCAATATATTTAAAATCCAACATATTTAAACGACTCCACAAATGTGTTCGATTTACACCAAGAGCAAAGAACCAATAAACTTGAGTTTTAAGATAAACACTCAAAATCAATAAAGAAAACTACAAATTTGATAGATCATAAGCCATGAAAAGACCAAAAAATATGGGTTTTATAATAAAATTTCAACTGCTTACCCTCTTTCTTGTCCAGAAACTCAGATTAAGGTTGAATTAATACATGTATATATATATATATATCAGAAAAACCCAATAACATATTAATTCAAAACATATTATACAGTGCAATTTGGACAGACTAACCCCAAAATATATAGTATATATATAAATAAATAACTATAAAAGTRTAAATCGTAAATTTTAAAAATATTTTTTCACAATATATATAATATATAATAATATAATTAAGTCAAAAACTATTCAATATTGGACTCATTTCGAAGGTATTAACAAGACGATTATAATGGTGTAACTTGTTAAAATAAAAATGTATTTTTTAAATATGTTTTAATTGATATATGATTATGTATGTTAATTTGATAAAGGTTTAAAATGAAACATTTAAAAATAAAGGACGTAAAGTAAATTAATTAACTAATTATAGATGTATAAAATATAAATTTAAAATTATAATTTAAAAATATCCGTTGTGAGAGGGTGAGTGTATGTGAGGAGAGGAGGGGGTGAAAAAGTAGTATAAAGGGTATTTTGGTCATTTATTATTTTAAGACTTTAAGACTTTTGCTAAATTTGCTTAATAATATAGTATATATATAGATATATACTAGAAGGGTACTCGCGCAATACAGCGAGATACATCTTGATTTTAATGTTTCGTTTTATATTTTTGGGTTCATCAATGTTATAATGCGATTTAATGTGGTTTTGAGAAGAAGAAAATGTTTTATTTTTGAATGAAATATAAATTTGAAGATATTATAAAATTTTGATAAAAATAAGCGATATTAGTATCAAATTAACTATTTAAAAAAATTGAAATTTTTTTAATTCAATTTTTTTATCATGATTTAATTGAATTTTAAAAACGAACTAATTTATTTTGGTTTAACAAAATAATTTCTTCAAGATAATAATTAAGCATTTCATTAGACTTAATGATTATCTTAATTATATTTTAGATTTTTTATATTAAAAATGATATTTATCATGTGTTTGATTATGTTTATCTGCAGTTAGTTATACGAATTCAAACATGGAGCTTTAATAAGATGTATTCATGCACATTCTACTTGTAATCTTGAATTTTAAGTAATATGTATCAATAAACTGTATTTTATGCATAAAGTTGTTTTTAAAAGTTTTTGTCAAATGTTTTATAATATATATATATATATATATATATATATATATATATATATATAGTTTC